GTACAAGACATAGCTGGGCAATTTTCTACATTGTCAGATAAATACCAATGTTGTAACTGTTATGGAAGGGCTTGGCTAGGGAGGTATCAAGTTCTGGAGTACAAGTCTTCAGTACTATTACCGGAATGTTGTCAGGTCTAGTTGTCCAGAGACAGTCAAGAGACAACCACATTCATGTGGGTCTGGAGTCACACGTAGACCAGACCAGGTAAGGATGGCAGTTTCCTTTCCTAAAGGATATTAGTGAACCGGATGGGTTTTTCCAAAAATCGACAATGGATTCAAGATCATTGTTAGAATCTTAATTCCAGATTTTATTGAATTCAAATTCTGCCATTTGCTGAGGTGGGATTCGATTGGGCCCCAGATTGATAGCCCAAAAATAATACCACTAGGCCATCATCTCATTTGCAGAGTTGGCACCTCATTTCAGGTATGCCTGATGCTGCTCGTGGCATGCCCTCCTGCATTCTCCATTGATCACTTATGTTTGCTACAGTTTAAGCAATGCTTTAACTTTACAATTTTCATCCTTGTTTCCAAATCTCTCCATAGCCTTGCCCCATCTTATCACTCTCTGCCTTAAAATCTATATCCTTCCAAGATAGCTGTGCTCTTGAACAAATCATCTTTTAAATAACTCCATCATTAGCAACCACAGCCCAAAGTTCCAGAATTCCCTCCCTCAACCTCTTTGCCTCTCTACATTGCTTTCTTCCTGAAAATGCGCAATTTTTGGTCATCTCCTCTAAAAGCTCCTCATGTGGCTCAGTGTCAAATTGTGCTTTCTACTGCTCTGCTAAGTGCCACAAGGCATTTTACTATACTTAAGGCACTATTTAAAGAAGTTGTGGCAGCTTAAAAATCACTGCCACTATGCCTGCCATCTGGCCCAATTGTTAATTTTGTTGTCCATGTCAGTAGGTTGCAACTTTCGTTACAGAACCAGGAGGAAATATCTTCAGTTGGTAATTCAGCACAATGCTGAGTAAATGGTTTGTTGCTGTCTTTTAGGTTATCTATTAAACCAAAGCATGTCTCAGATCAGATGTCTTTTGTTTTAAAAATGACATTAAAACTGTTCAAATGGTAATTAATTATGTCACTGTCATTTGAAAGACTGTGTACAAATTTGGCTGTCATGAACATTTGTAGGAGAGCATTTGAAATTCAAAATAATAAACGGTATAGTTTTAATGATTTTTGAGTATAGCTCAGCACTCAAAAATTGAGTTTCAACCTTATTGTACTTAAGATGCTTCCAATGAATTTTAAATCAGCATTACCCTGAGAACAGGGAAACATGGTTAAAATCTAAGTTAAAAGCTCAACTTAGATCAGTGAAGTAACACCACTTCTGTACAATCCATGTATTCATCATGAATGTATACTAAAGGTGATACCAAACATTTGAAGTTTAAAACAAAATCATAGTATTCATTTTTAAAATACTCTACCTTAATTAGACATATTTTAAACTGTTGTCAAGGAAACTGAATTCCAGGAAACCCTGTTGTAGCTTTGCAAACTGCCATCCCTTCGAAGTTCTTCTCTTCTAACCCACCCACTATACAGCATCTCTTTCTTCTGCCCAGCTGTGATGATGTCATTTCAAACAAGGAGAATTCTCATCTCAGCACCCTTATCTCAGCTTAACTGAAATGTTGAGCTAGACCATAAGGTTGCATCAGCGCAGCTAATTTTTATTTTTAGAAGAGCCCAACATCATTCTTACTACTAAATGATCCAAGATGAGGAGATGTCTGCAAAAGAGTTCACATCCAATTTAATTAAAAGATTCAGATAAGCGAACTAAAATTTTCAACAATTTATAACTGTCTGGAGAGATCAGATCAGCTGCTCTTACGCAACCCTTGAAGACTGAAATGGAATAGTCCAGGCCAAGCAACAGCTCATTCTGCACCATTCTGCTTACTATTTTATATAAATAACTTAAAAACTACTTCTGCACTAGGTACATTATAAAGTTAAAATGCATCCACACACCAAAACATCGTCAAAATATAATCAAGCATCAAGCTGGTTGCCATCATTCAAAATGTTATTCCTCAGAAGTTTAAACAAATTTTGATCTTTTACACAAACAATATTCACAACATAACCTGAAAACCAACTCAACTGTAGAAATTTAAAAATTGCAGCAGCTGTGTCAGGACAAAGCTTCTCCTCTCGGATTTTTACATATTACAATTTTTCTTGCAGTCATTAAGACTGTAGAAGCAACATATAAAAGTAAAAATGGAGAACTTTCATTTGAAAAAGTTTTGAGCTTAATTTCATGATGGATCATAACTGATCATATCCAGAAGCTTAAAAGCCCTGCTCAATCAAGTAGGAGCCCATTAGAAATAGCAACAAGAGTAGGCCATTTGGCCGCGCATGTCTGCTCTGCCATTCAATAGGATCATCACACCCTTTTCCCCGTCACCCTCGATTCCCCTACTGATCAAGAATATATCCATCCCAGCCTGTGGTTTAAATAAAATCCTTATTTGTATTTTACTAAAGTCTGCAATCCTGCTAAATACCCCACCTTGCTCGGGCACTCAATATTGGTACCTCGAAAAATTCTATAGAAAGAAATTAAGGTGAAAGAGGTTGTGCAATTTTGATAACCATGTCACATTCAAGTCAACAAAATGTTCATGAACCAAAGTCCTTTTTCTTCCAATACTGACAATATTTAGTAAGAATGAGTGACACAGCTATCCAAGACAATTGAGCCTGCCCCAGAGCAGGTAGTCGGAATTTTTTTTTGGGAGGGGGAGCAGAATACAAATGTTCCATAGTCTCAGCTTGAAACCCGGTGACCAAGGGATCATAAAGCAACCTTACTGGAAATCTAAAACCTATTCTTTTGAAAACATTTTCCTTTCTGAAAGCCTTTACCACATTTGTTAAACTCTTTCCTGTAGAGAAGCACATCAGTATTCTGCTAGGGGAAGCAAATAAATTATTCACCAGAACAGACATATCCAACATTTTTTTGCACTATCTGTACAAATCATCCACTAGCAGGGCAGCTACCACCAGTATATTGTAATTCTATCAAAGTACAAGATTAAACTGCAACCCAGTCCCAGGGCATCATGCCATTCATCCTTGCATTTTGGCCCAAGTATGTTAAATATTAAATATGAATTTACTGGCGAGAAAGACAAGCAAATAGGAAGGAAGATGTTCCAGTATGAAACAAAAGAGTTACACATTGTTTGGAACTATCAACCAACAACATTTTGAGCCAACTATTGGAGTGGAAAGAACATTGCAATAGATTCTTCTGAAGTCCACTAAGTGTTTGCCACTCAGTGTAATCAAAAATTGACACCCCAAAGTTTTTATTAACCAATTGGAGTGTATGTTTCCCTTTGCTGCATTGGGTTTACCATGCAAAATTTAAATTTGTTTCAGACAATTAGGTTCAAGGAATAACATTCCAACTGGTTGGTCAAAGCTCAATCCTTGAGAATTCATCCTCAACCTAATGGTTGTGATCCCTGTATGGTAGCTCAAGATTGCATAGTTTAAAGCGGCATGCAGACAGGGTTTTGGGGAGGGAGGGCCACTAAGTCATGTACATTGTAATAGGACTCAAGAGAAGTCTCGGTGATATTTTCCTGTTTTCAGTGCTGAATCTAAGTTCAAAGGTCCTCAGAACACTTGATATCTCCACAAACACATCTTGCTGAACTAAAAAAAAATCCTAACATGGGCCACAACATTGAGAAATCTTTCAGATTCACCCATAGTTGCACTGGCATCCAGATTAGGGCATCATCCACTTACTTTCAATGCACTTACTACATAAAGAATTTTGTTTGCCATGCCATTCATGTTAGATTTTACATTAGCCCATTTTCAGTCATTAGTTACCTTATTAGTTTATGTGGCTTCATTATACTATCCCCATGTTAAATTAGCAAAAGTAGTTGTAATATCAAATTCCAAATTTCAGTTATTTCATTTAACATTTCACACTTTAAGAAATGGCTACATTCTAACTGTCATCTCTTTTAAAGTTCATCTATCACTTTGGATGAAGGATCAGAGATTGAATTCCTCAATTACAAGCATAAGTGAAGACACTTTGTTGACATTAATTCTTTGCTTATGCTAATCTTTGTTCAAAACAAAATTAAACATGAGTATCCATTTGATTCTACACAGTTAGGCAAAGTGAAATAACTTGCACTTGATCCTCCAAGATTATAATGTTAACAGTCACTACAGGATTAAACCTTAGTCGAATATATAGTCACAGTAATCACAGGGTTAACCTCCGTAATCAAAAAACACGACTGCGCAAGCAAAATACCAAACATGCCAGGTCCAGCACCTTGTCCACTTCATTCTGCTGTCAAAAAATAAGAAACGTTAATCAGCTCCACAATTCTTTCAGACGGCAGAACAATCCAAAGCAATAGAATAATATCGTCACTAAGTAGGAACTTCCTCCCAGTTAACGTTCAGCTTCAATATATTCTGTGGAACAGTTATTAAACGAGGGGGGTTTAAAGTGTGTTTGCCGGCTGGACTCTGGCATTACTCTCTTTTTGGAGCTAGAACCAGCTGTCGCCGTTTAGCGGCACTGCCGGCCCGACAAACAGAGAATTTCAGAGGCAGCTGGAAGCGGGCCGAGACCGAGCATCACCGAACCGGCACTCGGCCCAGACTTGAGAGGCCCCGACCAAAGTGCCAACACGACCCCAACAACCGGCATCCAAAGGCAGGATCTCTCAACCGAAAATACACCGCTCACCCTCCCCGGCGTGATTCGCACCCCCACCTCCTTCCTTCCTTTCTTTCCCTCCCCCCCCCCCCCACGTTCCCCCAGGAAGGGGCAGCAGGATCCAGGGTGGGGTGAAGGGGGAGGTGAGTCAATGTTACCCTGCACACATCGCCAGACGATCTTCCCCCGCTTCAACCCCGACTGCGTGAAAACAAAAGCCCAGACCTCTGACCCGGAAGTATTCCCCAGCCCCTCCCACTGTGTTGGGGGTACGGCAGGGGAGGGATGGGAGGAAAAAAGCTCTTTGACTCGGAAGGGTAGGTTCGCCTCCTCATATTCCATATCGCTGCGGCCGCGCATGCGCTGGAGATCGGAGGCCAGGCGGTGAGAAGCGGATGCCGTTACCATGTTGGGGCTGCTCGGGGAACAAGGACGGTAAAGTCGGTGAGTTCTCGGTATGTTCACAACTGTATTACCGACAGTGTGTGACGTTCCCTCCCACTCCCCCCTCCCCTCTCTCTCTTTCTGTCTGTCTCTTTTCTTCCCTCACCCCATCTTATTTCGACTTGCTCGGCAGAGGTTAATATTTGGAACGACTAATGGCCTGTCAGTCGGGGACTGCAGCTCCTCCAGTGGAACTGCGATTGCGGGCGGGGGAGTTGAATTTCAGGCCTCGGCGGACAACACCAATTCTACACTTTGATCCTCTTCAACGATTTAAACAGTTAGCGGTTGTGAGGGGTGGGGAGTGGGAGTTGTAATACTTGCATGGGTATGTAAATCAGTGAAGTGAGGAAAGGAAAATTATGAAAAGACAGTGAAAGTGTTTTCTGCCAATCTGAATTGAAAGAACGTTGCACTTTTGTTCACGTTTGTTTCTTTCTATTTCAGAAATAACCTTAATCCAGTACAGCACATTGAAGAAAATAACACTAGAATTCTAGGCAGTTATAATGTGATCACCTTCATATAGACCACCAGTGTTGGTCGATTTGGTGAAGTTATTTATTGGGAGGAGGTGGGAGGAAATGCATCTTTCCATTTCAAGTTAATGTCAAATTGAGCAAAAGCCTTTTGTTGGAATGTAAGGATATGATGTTCTAGGCCCATTCCGGATACTTAAGCACATACTGTATTTAAATCAGTCTGGATTAAGGGAGTGCTTAGTTGCACAGACACGTATGTAAATGGAGATGTGAGTTGTTAAGCTCTGTCTGCCCTCTCTACTGTTGCCAGCTGCTACTGCAATGAGATATGCTGTTATGGTATGCTGTATGTGTCTGTTTTGCACTGTCTGGACACTTCCACCACAGCCTGTTCCAACTGCCCTGTGATGTCCATTGTTGATTATACCTGATTCAACCTGTCTTAACTGCCCACCATTTTTCCCTTTAAATGTTTTTCGCAGCTGACACTTTCTGGATGTTGTTTTTGGGAGTTCTCTTTGCTGTTGCAATTTTAAGTGCTACTTAAAATTGTCTCATGGAATTTTCAAATACTTCTTAGCATCCACCTTTCAAAGGCCTGTATTTCTTCTCCCCCAAGCTCTTTACTTATTGCACAGGTCTCTGAGATAGAGGAAAATAGACAGAAGTTGCATCTTACTATTCTTTCCCCCTCATTCCAAGCTTGGGTTTTCTTGAAATAAAGATGTTTCATCCTCCGCTGGATATCTCCATTCTTCTTCTGTGTTTGGCATTGCATCTCCCATCCTCTGTCATTGTCCGAAATAGACGTTTTTGCTTATTCCATTATGGCATCATCCACTTCATTTTTCTGTCTACTTTCTACTAATGTGTTCCTTCTATTCTTTTTTGACATTTGTACTCAATCCATATTCTGAATTTAGGCAGATATGAGATCCCTGGCTGTTTTCAAAGAGCAGAGATTTCTCCCAGTATCCTGGCTAAAATACATCTCTGAACCAGAAAAACCGAATCAGTGGCTGTGGAACTTTCCACAGTGCAATTTAGGTGCAACAATTCCCTGCATTAGTGATCATGTTTCAGAAGCAGTTTAGGATATCCTGAAATCATAAAGATTACTAGATTAAGGCAAACTTTTGCTTTGCAAGGGTGAAAGTAGTAAACATTTGAAATAACTCCAGAGGCCAGTATGCTGTCACCAAATCACCCTTTTATTTACATATGGAAAGTCCTGACAGTGGTCCGGTTCCCTCCGAGCCAGCTCCATGTCAGAATGTCTGACTAACGTTGTTACAATCACTAAATTTCTTCCCCCTCAGAGTCAGGCTGGTTGTTTTCTTTTGTAGTCCCTCCTGGGGTGTTTTAGCACCAGGTCAGCTACCCCCAACTCTCAGTCGGAAACGTGCAGCATGTAACACACAGGAGCTTTCCTCTTGTGCCTGGAGTGCCTTGGGAGAAATTCATTCTTCTGGTGGCAGAGGCATTAATGTTTAATGAGCTTGCACGTTCTCCCCGTGTCTGCACGGATTTCCTCCGGGTGCTCCGGTTTCCTCCCAGAGTCCAAAGATGTGGGATTTAGGTGGATTAGCCATGCTAAATTGCCCATAGTTTGGAGGGAGGTGAAAAAGCTGCAGGTCCACAAGCTTTCAGGAGAATTACCCATTGCTTTTCATCTGCCTGGAAAAAATAACCCATCCTTTCCACATACAGGACCCAGTCTTCAATGGCAGGGTTGAATGATTCAAACTTCTCAAATCATAGCATGACACCAGAAATGCTTACCTCTACTCAAATCAGATTGTTGGAAGCAAGTTCCTGCAGGAACATGCTTTATTCTCATTCCACAAAGGATGGTATCCTATCAACAAAAGTGACCCTTTTGTTTACAAGTGGGATATCCTTGATACTAGTCCAGTTTCCTCAGCGCTAGTTCTCCAAGTGGACAAGAAGTCTGACAGACTGTTTTTCATCTGTCATCCAGGGCTCCCTTATTGGTTCAGATTAACAGCCCCAATCAGGGAACTCATTGAGGTCCACCTGGCTGACCTTGTTGTAATCAGTATGATATTTGTTCTGTTAGTTTATCCAGGGCCTGAAATGTGAAGGTGCAACAGGCAACAGTGGAAAAAATCAGCAGCTGTTATATTGAATGGTGAAGCATACTCAAAGTTTGAATGGCCTCGTGCTACTCCCATTTATTCTGTTCTGAAAAGAAAAATTTGAATGCCTTAAAAGTATGAGATCTTGGCAATACAAGCAAGATACTTGTATTGTCAATCAGTCATTTAAATAAAGAGGCCGGTGGGAAATAAAGCAAATGTATATCATGTATGTGCCTATTGTGATGAACATGTGCCTTGGCACTTCAGTGCAGATTGCAACAAGGCTCATTTGTAAATGTCTTTAAAAATATTGTAATGTTGCATAAAATAACTAAATATAACAAGGGCTATAATGAAAATGACTTTGATTTACCTGCTGAATGTGTACTAATCAAATTCCAGATCAAACCAAAGTGGGAGTCAGTGAATTTGGAATAGACAGCTCTGAAATTACAAAGTGTTGAAAAGAATATAGAAATGGCAATCACAATAAGGTTGAATGCAAATAAAAGATCAAGAAGTTGAAATAGACTTGTTAAACAGTACTTTCAGCTGATACAAAGCCGCATTTGACAATGCCAAAGTGATAGAATGCAAGTCAGAGGAAGCCGTCATTCAAGTGTGTAACGCTCTTGTCGGATCACACCACTGATCACACTTGAGAGGCCCTTGAGTACTGGAGTTCATGCAGAGGAGCGCTATGAGTCTAATTGCTAGTGTTATAAATTTGAGCGATGAAAATTTAGAGAAACTTGTATGCTCAGCTAAGCGTGCTAGGAGATCTTTTGAAGAAAAGTTTGTAAGAAGGTAAATGATGAAAAGTACGCACATTTTTCTGAGGGGTCTGGAGTTTTGAGATTCTCCGTGGGATATGTAGTACCATTGTTGTGTTTTCACGTAGAACAAGGCACAGAGGCATGTTGTGAAAGGAAGCTTGAGATCTGGTTAAAGTTCTGCTTCATGTGAAATATCAACAGACTGTATTCAGAGTCAAGTGAAAAAATCATTTTGTTTCGGAACAATGAGAGAATTTTAAAAAAATTATTTGTAGAATGTGAATTTAATTGGCTGGGTGAATTTTTATTGTCTTTCCCAGAATTGCCCTTGAGATGGTAGTCGTGAGCTACCTCCGTGATCTTTTTTAGTGTTCTTATGCTGTTGGTACACGTGCGGTTAGAATCATAGTGTGGAAGTAGGCCATTCGGCCCAGCATGTCCATACCGACCATCCAAAGAGCGTCCCACCAATACCCATTCCCCTCCCACCCTATCCCTGTAAGCCTACATTTCCAGTGGCCAATTCACCAAGCCTTCACATCCCTGGACACTATGGGGCAATTTAGCATGGCCAATCCATCTAACCTGCACATCTTTGGACTGTGGGAGGAAACTGGAGTACTTGGAGGAAACCCATGCAGACATGGAGAATATTCAAACTCCACACGGTTGCATGAGGATGGAATTGAACTCGGGTCCGTGGTGTTATGAGCCAGCAGTGCTAACCCCTGAGCCACTGTGATATTTTGATCCAGCAACAATAGAGGAATGGCGACAGAATTCTCAGTTAGGATCAAGTCTAAATTGTGGGAAGCTTGCGGGTGGTGGTATTCCTGTGTGTCAGCTGCCTTTGTCCTGTGGTAGAAGTTGTGGGTTGTGAGTTATTTTCTATATTTGTGGAATGATAAGTGCCTAAACTGTTGTCTTGTCCTTGAACTGAGAAGAGGCAAATTCAGCCAAAGTTCTTGTTTTCTAATGTTTGATCTTGTTGGATAATGGATATTTGTGGGTTTTGCTTTGAGACAGGGTGTGACTAGAATATAAAGTGTGTTAACTCGCCCATAAAGGATGCAATATGAGCAGGGTACACAACGATTTTTTTGTGGAGAAGTGAATAAATGCTCGGTCGCAAGTTTTAAGGAGGAGCTTAAATGCAGAGAAAAGAGGATATTCAGAGGATTCTACAGTGTGGAGTCGAAAGAGCTTAAAGGCATCATCACCAGTGGTTGGATGAAGGGCATGATGAAGTGAGAGATTCGAGCATGTGAGGCTGTAGCATTGGAGGTGGAATAGAATTATTGAAGACAAGGCCATGAGTAGAGTGTAAATATGAAACTGAATTTCTAGAGATATTGGGGATTGAGAGCCAACATAGGTTAATTAAGGGCAGGGGTGATAACTAAGTTTAGCGTCAGCTGGATACGTGCCCCATTTTAATTTGAGCTAAAGTTTGTAAAGAATAGAACGCTGACATGTAGACCCATTGGATCATTCAACTCTGAAAGTTGCAAAGGTATGAATAAGGGTTTCATCAGCAGATAAGCTGAGGAACAGGCAGAGTAGTTACACAAGATGAAAGTAAATGCTCCTTATGATGGCGAATTTGTGGAGTTTTAACTTCAGCTTGTCAAATTGAATACCGAGCTATCCAAATCAGGTTAAACCTGAGTCATTCATAGGGGAGTTTGTGTAGAATCAATTGTGAGTATACAATTTGTAGTGGTAACTCGTGAGAATGTCATTTTTTGTTTAATTATTTCAGTGGACAGAATTGCAGGTTGAAATTTGGATCTTGGATAAGCATAGGCAACAAGACAGTCGACAAGGGTAAAGGGATGTGCTATTTGGCAAACTGGTGCATTCTCCTTTGTTTAATTTCTGTTGTGATTTAGAATTGTATCTTCCAGGATGTCTTTCTCACATATAAGCTTTTACCTTCTATGCTGCACATCTTGCTTGCACAAGTGCAATTCTGCATTGATGATCTTCCAACATCATCCCATAAGAGTCATTAGGAGCAAGTTCCCTTTGGAAGAATCGCACTGACATGGAATCTGGAAGTAACTAGCTGATATATTTTGACTTATTGCTTAAAGAAGCATCTAAATGTGGTTTGTTAACATGTTACTCAATAACCTAACGCATATTGCTAATCCTATTCCTCTTTTGTTAATTGCCTTTGTGGTCTTTTGCTGCACCATCTGTCCTCATTTGAATCCAAAAGTCATAAAACACTATAGGCTCCTCGCCTAATTGTTGCCATGGGGAAAATGTGGCCTGCAACTATTGGCAGTTAACTTCCATTTTCTCTCACTTTCCCATCCATTCTCAATTCCATTGGGTTTTGCATCCCTTTGGCTTCCTACTGGCTACCTACCACCATTCTTTCCCTTCCCACCTTAAGAAATAGTCACTCACCTCCTACATTCAACAGCCTCTTGTGGTTTTCTCCTATCTGCCATACCCCTGCAGCCATCCCCCACTCATCTTGTTTGTCACTTGTATACTATTTTTCCCTAATGTTGGGCAACCCGTGGTCGCCTCATCGTGTATTTCCCAGCATATAAGAGCTAATTCATTTTCTATGTTCCCTGATGTTTGCACTCATTTGCACTAGCTTTCCAGTCATAAAATCATAGAATCCCTACAGTGGGGAAGCAGGCTATTTGGCCCATTGAGTCCACACCGACCTGCAGAAGAGAATCTGACCCTGACCCACCACCTATCCTGTCCCTGTAACGTGCATTTCCCATGGCTAATCCACCTAGTTTGCACATCCCTGGTCACTGTGGGCAATTTCGCATGGCCAATCTATCTAACCTGCAGATCTTTGGACTGTGGGAGGAAACCGGAGCACCTGGAGGAAATCCACACAGATGGGTGGAATCGAAGCCATGACCGTGGTGCTGTGAGGCAGCAGTACTAACCACTCAGCTACTGTGCTGCCATATGGCATGAGTTTGCATGGATAGACTTACCAGTAGAGTAGCTGCGCTATTTGTGATATCAGAATCAATGCAGTTTCCAGAAACAACAAATCGTGCTACTTGCTTTGGGGTGTTGTTGTCAACAGCAGCAAATTCAGGAGTGGTACAGGAAGTAAATTAGATGATGCTTCTCTCTTCCCAGCACCTGAAACCAACCAGTTAGTGATTACCTCACTGATAATAAAAAGATACTGTCTGATCTGGAGACAACTTTATTTCCAGTCAGGCAAGCTAGCTGAATGCCTCGGCTAATGTATATAACACAGAAATAAGTCTACACTCACTGTCATGTTGTAAAATTTCCTCAGTGACTGTAATTTTTTTATGCTTTTGTAGCATAAGGGTTCTATGGCAAACATAGAAAAGCTGTCAAAGTAGATTTCCTTGACTTTAGAAGCAAAAATCAGATACCTGTGACTTAAACTAAAGGATGGATTTGTTAAAAAAATTAAATGGGAAATGTTGCTATATTAAATATAAGTGGGAATAATAAAGAATTGCCTTTTCCTCTGCAGAATATTAAAAACATCAAAGATGCATATTTTGCACTGACTGTCACAATTAACAGTAGCTTGCTGTCTGTTTAAATTTGTGGTTTGCCAGTGGTTAGCCCAAAAAAACTCAAGATTTTTGAGACACAAATATCTTATTTTTAAAATTAAAAGCAGAAAATGTTCAAACAACTTTGAAGTTAGGCGGTATCTGTGGAGAGAGAAACAGTTAACAAAAACTTTCAAAGGCCATCTTTAACCTGAATGTTAACTATTTCTTCCATCACAAATGCTGCTTGACCTGCCAAGTATATCCAACATTTTCTGTTTTTATTTTGGATTTTCAGAATCCACGGTATTTTGCCTTAGTTAATAATTCTGGGTGATAACTTTTCATAAGAACTCTAAAGGTTAGAAATGTGATATCACCTTACATTTAAATCTTTGCATCTAAGCTTTAGATTTACATTTATTGTTTCCCAAAGACTTGCGTAAAGAATGCTTGGAAGATGCATATAAATGCCATAAATTTCAATCTGCTGGCATAATCATATTTTGGTAGATAAAGCCTCAGTTATAACACTAATGTTAAGCAGCAGGTTTTCAAGAAGGAGCCCAGTTCAAATTCTCAGGTCCACAAAGTTTATAACTCAAACCGTCAAGGAACAAATAAAAATGCAGATGTGATTCTATTGATTGACTTCATGAGCTGAACTCCCAAGGTTCAGGTTGCATATAACTACAGGGACATGGGTCTCGATGAAATGCCCTTTGGAGGGTTGATGCAGACTCGATGGGCAGAATGACCTCTGTCTGCACTGTAGGAATGCTATAACTTTATGAATCTAACTGATAATTTGTGGCTGCATTTTGAACAAAATAAAATGGACATTTCTGACATCTGTATCCAACAATTCATCAGGCACAGTGCTTGGACGAATACTCGTGCTATCTTTCTTTGCGAATTCTCATTTTTGTTATAACAAAAATTTGTAAGTTGCAAGTTCATATGAAAAGACCTTGTCAGTAAATTCTTTTTTTCATTTATGGGATTTATTTTCTGTTCATTCAGGGTTTGTGTGTTGCTGGCTTCCAACCTAGAGGATAGTTAAGTCAATTACATTGCTATGGGCCCAGAGTCACAGACAAGGTAAGGATGGGAGTTTTCCTTCCCTACAGATGGAACAGATGGTTTGTTTTTCTGACAATTGATAATTCATAGTCATCGCAAAACTTTTAATTCCAGATTTTTATTGAATTCAAATTCCACCATCTGGAATTCAAACCCAGGTCCCAAGAACATTATCTGGCTTTCTGGATTAACAGACTAGCAATAATACCACTAGGCCATTACCTCCCCCCAAGCATTACAGCACTTGGTCCTGGATATGAGCATTGATGTTTGACACTTATTTACCTCCCTGGTGGCAAAGATGATAGTCATTGGAGTGTAAAGATAACCACAGTGCAATTACGAAGGGAGTGCAAGGATGTTGGTGCAGTAGTGATGAAGAAGTTTGTGAAGTTCCAAGTCAGGATCATGTGTGCCTTGGTGGGGAGCTTTCAGATGGTGACATTCCCATGCATCTGCTTCCCTTGTTTTTTGTGGTGATTCAGGTTACAAATTTGAAGGGTCGAGTTGAAAGAACCTGGATGCATAACTACAGTGCAGCTTTAAATGATCTGATCTGCTCTGCTGCCACTGCATTGGTGTTGAAGGTAGTGCATGGGGTTCTAATCAAGTGGGTTGCTTTATTTGCTTTCTACAGAAAATATAGGGTTCCTAATAATGTTTGAGCTTTTTTGAAGTTCCCACAGTTCCCACAACCCCAACAAGTGATCATCTTATTTGTTGATGTTAACAGTTGTAATTTTCATAAAATATGAACTGATTCCCTTCAAGGGCAAATTAAACCATTGATGATGTTTTCTGTTCACAGGTGAAGCTGTGCACATGGTTTCTCTGGTTCCAAATAAACAAATGGAGTGAAACAGCTATGGACAGTCTCAATGACCCAGAGGATACATATATTGCAGTGATTCGTCCTAAGAATGCTGCTAGTTTAAATTCTCGTGACTATCGAACAAAATCATATGAAGTAAGCCAGTAAATACTTCTAAACTATTTACTTAAGATGTGTAAATGGCCAAAAGTAAATCTGTTGTCATGGTTTATTGCTTCTCATGATGAGTGACAATTAGTTTGTATTGAAGCTTCAATTTCAGCGACATAAATCTGATGTGTTTTTCTGCTTATGGAGAATTTTTTGTTGGCACCTGAATGTAAAGTTGGTGGACAACTGTACAGGCCAGATTGACCACCATTGGTCGTCATTTTTATATTGGAGGTATCTTAGCGAAATATTCGACCACTGAAGACACTGTGCTTTTAAGAAAGTACAAAGTATACTACACCTATCACACTGACAGGGAAATGGTAGCATGTAATTAAATATACCCAATAAATTAAATAGAGTTCCTTAAGAAATTACTCAGATGGCATGTAAATAAATTTATTAGATATGATTTTCAGAAAAAAGTTGCAACAATTTTGAGTATAAAAATGCAAAGTAAATTTAAGACCTGTTCACTTGAATATTAGTTGAGAAGTAGGAATAGGAAGTTGAGATAAAAGTGAAAAGGTTGGATTGTCAAAAAGTGACAGGTAATCATTCTCTTCTCCTAACCAAACCATCGGTCATCTGAACAATATGGGCTACTTCATTTTATCCACGGATGTTATTTTGGAGAAGAGTTGAGTGCCCAGTTCAGATGAAGTTTTTTGTAGCTTCTGTAGATTCTGAAGAAGGGAGCTGAAAATGTTCACTGCAACAAAACAATGTACATTTTGGATTTCTTCAATTTTGAAGAAAAGTACATTCTGTAAATGTCAGTCTCTGATTTCTTGTTAATGATATTTATCTACTTTTGTCTGAATATTCTGTTTTCACTTCATAATCTGAATAAACCATCGTAAAAATATAGTAATACTCTCCAGAAGCTCTCTTCCCTTTCATGCTGCTCCCTTAGCTGACCTGGACTGTCTTTGACCGCAGCATCCTGTAAAGCTCAGAGCTGACTTTAACCCTTGCATCCTATCCATTCTGATTACATCCAGCTTGGTAACGTTACCGGCATTCAGCCCTTCTCATGTCTCCCAGTGCAAAAATCATTGTTTTATATTCCTGAACTAGACTAAATCTAGTAAATTACTACATATTTCTTAAACTTCAGTTTTCCCAGATATCATTTGAACACATCCAGGGGACAAAAAGTGGGATGAGAATGGGAATCTGGGGGGAGATGGGGACATGAACCAATCTGTGACATACCTAGCATAAAACAAGATTGTTGTGGTTGGTCAAAGCCAATTTTCTCATAACCAGGATCTCAATGCAGGAGTTTCTGAGGATTGTTTCCTAGGCCTTCCCAGTATCTTCAAAATCTCCGAACCCTACCATCCAGAGGGGCAACAGCAAGGAACTCCATCAACTGCAAGTTCCCTCTAATCCATGTATCATCCTGACTCTCATGCAGACACACACATGTAAATCTATGGGTGAATTTATATTTGCAGATACATTCTATTTTGTTCAAAAAACATACAATTTATAGACAGTCATTTTATAAATACCTACTCTAGAAATAAAACCAGTCTGACTCCAAACCAAAACAGATTCTAAACAAGGCCTCACACCATTGCATTGTCTGACCTAAAATGTCACCTCTTCTTTAGACTGATGAAACCTTTAGTTCTCTCAGGACAGTGACTTGAAAGGAATTCGGGGATTTACATATGCATATTAATCAATTAAAACCTTCTAACTGATTAAAAATTTAACAGCATCTTAGGCTTGTTTAATACATCCTCATCAGTTGTGTGACCCTTTGATCTTTTATCTATAAATTCTGTGTCTGATGCCACCTTTCTCATTAACACCTGAAGAGGGAGCCAGGCTCCAAAAGCTTGTGTTTTCAAATAAACCTGTTGGACTATAAACTAGTGTTGTGTGATTTCTGATCTTGTCCACCCCAGTCCAACACTGCCACCTGCACATCATGGCATCCTGTAATGAAAAGGAGATCTTACGATCTTTCTCGATCGATGAAATAAGCTGGAGTGAATGCCTTTTCTCATCTGTAAATTATATTGTGATCTGGCAAAACGGGTATCTTGCTTAACTGTAGGCAAAAATGCTGAGCAGTTGAAATGTTGAACATGCACTGTATCATACAGAATAACTTAGATGAATGTAAATGTTAAAAATCTTCCATTTAAAAGCCTTTCTTTCAAAACCAATCGACTGGTTTAATTTTGATGAATTTTGTATTTCTTGTAAAAGTTCTTTCTGCCAAGGTCTGCTTAATGTATGCAGGTTTTAATATTAATGGTACCTTTCTTCTTGAATCTTAAACAGTAACACTATTGTGGGGTTTGTTGTAAGCAAAACAGAAGAGATAGAAGGCAGGAGCATTTGCACTCTGCAAACAATGTACTGTGCCAAGGTATCTGGCTAGAATATGTAGTCAAATATACTGAGATAAGTGATCTGTTGTGGTCTTGACATCACTGCCTACACATCTGTGTCAATTGTCAGTCTGGTCACTTGTCCCAGGCTTGCTGCTGTGCTGACTCCTGTCCTAAGTTTCTTTGGCAATATTTTGCATACCGGATAAGTCTATTAAATCAAGCTTTAAGTATATTTGGGTTAATGAAGCCCCAACTCAAAATGTAGAATCTAACTGGTTCCGTGTAGTTGTGTTGATGCTTGTCTTGTTCGTCAGACCTATTCAGCCCTATTTTTAGTAAACTACTGACCACCCAACTTCTCTTGCTGGTTCCCGTATCTGATTATTGTTAGTTGTTCTGTCTCCTCTGATTCTGATCCCTCCTCCTTCAACTCTGTCTTCATTACCTTTCTCCACAAAATACCAACCTATGTCCCTTGATTCTTTCAAATGATGACCCAGTCTCAAACCTCCTTTTCCTTTACAGTGACCTTAAACATTTTGCCTCTCAATTTATGCCCATCTTTTGGAGCTCTCTGTTCAACTCTTGCTGTCAGGGTTATGTTCTGTCAGCAAATGGCTCTTATCAAAGTCCGAAATATTGTTCTGTGTGACTATGACAAAGCTAAACTATTCCTCTTTGCCATTCTTGAGCTGTCTGCAACCTTGAATTTAGTTAATCACCATGTCCTCCTCCAAAGCACTTCCACAGCTGGCCAACTAAGAGTGCAATTGTTAGTTCCGTTGTTAACTATTTAGTTGTAGCTAGTGAATTTCCACTGTAGTTTCTATTCTCTCTATTCCTCCACTCGCGCCCCCCCACCCACCAACCCCAACATCAGTACAGTTACTTCTGGTGTTCCCCAAGAATCTATCCTTCACCCCTCCAATTTCTCATCCATGTGCTACCTGTCAATGACATAATCTAAAAACATAACATTGTTTTTGATGTGAATGATGATGCCGAAACCAGTTCTACTTCCAAATCCTCCTTTGATCCTTGCACTGTCACGAAGTTGGCAGTGTGATTTTCTGACTGAGCAGAAATTTTCTCCAGTTAAACATTGGGAAGACTTTAGCTATTGTCTTCAGCCCCTGTCATAAAGTTGACTCCCTCACCATCAATCTTTCTCCCTCTCTGGCAACTGTCTCAAGCTGAATAGACTATTTGCAGCCGTGGCGTCCTGTTTAGCTATGTGGCGAGTTTTTGCATCATGACTAGGACCACCTATTCCCAGTCCTGTAACATTGCTTACCTCCACGCTTGCCTCAGTTTGTTTGTTGCCATAATACTCTTTCATTCTTTTAGACTTGATTATCCCAATTCAGCCTCGATTTGGTCTCACACATTCTATTTTCTACAAACTTAAGTTCATCTAAAAGTTGCTACCCATTTTTTAACTTGCATGCCTGTGCAGTGCCTCAGTGTGTTCTATTATGTTGAGCTAAATTATATTAAATGCAGCTTGTTGCTGCTGTAATTCTGTTAGCTGCTTGCATGTCTCCAAGGATTTATAGATTCTAGTTGGAATTGTCAATTGCAGAATGTTGAAGCAAGATGATGACCAGTTGTAGAGTTCCAGAAGTTCTGGTACCAAATCTTACACCCTGTAAGAATGTTATCATCACTGGAGCAGTTGCTTATTCATTGGTATTGAAAGGCCTAAAAGCAGAAAGACGCTTTTGAACTACATTTTTTCTGATGAAGGGTCTAGGCCCGAAACGTCAGCCTTTCTGCTCCTGTGATGCTGCTTGGCCTGCTGTGTTTATCCAGCCCTGCACCTTGTTGTCTCGGATTCTCCAGCATCTGCAGTTCCTACTATCTCTGATTCATTTTTGAACTACTGTTAGGATTCAATATCACATAATCTTTCGCAGTGCTGCTTATGACCATAGAACTTCTTGTCATTCTGTAACTTATGATGAAGGATGCTATCCAGGTCAGTACCAGAGAAATTTTTCTGAAGTTTGGCCTCTGAAGTTCATGTAGGCTTTTGGTCACTTGTATTTACCTTGTATGTAATATTGCTGAAGAAAAACTGAAAGAACTGCAGATGCTGTAAAGCAGGAACATAAACAAGTTGCTGGAAAAGCTCAGCATGCCTGGCAACATTTGTGAAGAAAAATCAGAGTTAACGTTTTGGGTCCAGTGACCCTTCCTCTGATTTTTCTTCACAGATGCTGCCAGGCGTGCTGAGCTTTTCCAGCAGCTTCGCAGCTTCAGTTTTTGTTCAGGTAATATTGCTAATTGTGTACTTTGCACATATCCCCATCCTGATTATGAAAGTTTTCATATTACTTGGATGTTTTGAAATTACCATTCTTATGAGAATTCTGACAATACTTTTGACATACATTTGGGATTCTATGTAATACAGACTTCTGCTAGATCTCCTGTGAAACCTCAGCACAAATACCTTTTTGATTCAAGGAGCTTTGTTTAACTTTTAATAGCTCAATTATTAAGACATCATGAGGGAGCATGTTTCATGAGAGGATAATGCCCCTCAAACTTGGAATTGTTGCTTGTTTTCTTAAACTATGATACTGAGCAGTTGTCACCACACTCCTGTACTTGAGTGACATATAAGCACACCAGAAAAATTCCACCAGTTTTATAAACTCCACATTCTGCTGATTCCATCTGAGACTTTCAAGCAAATGCTAGTATCTGTCTTGAAGCCAGCTCTATAAATAATCATGGACTGGACACTATGATGAATGGTTGGAAAATGTCTCCCCCAGCAGTACTGTTTTCTCAATTTTCAAGTAGCCAGAATTCCAGGGGAGTAGATGGAAAAAGCTATAAAGACACTCTGCAACTCTTAGTGTGCCAGCACTGATACTAATGACTGGGACGGGCTTGTTACCAATTGTTCAAAAAGGCGACAACTTGTCCATCAAACTGCATCATGTTTGAGTACAAATGTTTTGCTGATGAGGATTAGCAGCAGCAGTGAAAGAAAGAAAGTAAGCCAATCTTGCACTCTGGGTGAACAAACTGCCGGTAGCACATCACTAATGAGCTCCAAGATCCATGGGTTGACATCTGGCCTTTTCAGTTATATCAAGACCCAGAGCAGAAATGTGTGACCCTGAAAAGACATCCTATTTAAATTGAAGGAAAGCTAAAATGTGGTTCACACTTTTACAAGGCTAGCATTAGAGTTTCAAGTCCTATTGCCGGAGCCTTTTATGTGTTAGGCTTCTGTCCTCACTTTTTATTTGGGTTCGTTGTTTTAAGATCAGTCCAGTAAAGGAAACTTGTGTGCTCCTTTATCTACCCAATATTTCGGTGAAGGCTACAAGACCTTGAATTTCAGTTGTAAATTCTTACCACTGCATTTCATCTCATCAGAGCACCTCAATGCAAAGTAGTTTTTGGTAATACGCAAACGTATCCACTGTTAGACCATGGCCTATTAAATAAGCAAATGAATAGTATCCAGTACAGATATTATATTCAAAGTTCATGGACTTTGCTATCCTCATTATTAAAACAAGATGTCATATGTTATCCCACATTGATTACCTTTGCCATCCATGCTTCAATTTCTTTCATGGTGAAATGCTACCATGGAGTCACTGATGGTGTCAGTGTCTGCTCACCTCCGACTGACTGAGATAAGGTTAGCTGTACTAAACCTTTCCTTTTAATGGTTGGAGCAAGTCTCTTGTTTGTTTTGAAAACATAAAAAAAAAAAAATTTTGGTGTCAGTTTTATTTAGTGGAAGCAACTCTCACCTGAGTCAGCGATCATGGATTCAAGTCCCACAAAAATGTTCAAGCACAACATCTAGACTGACACTTTAGTGTAGTACTTGGGAGTGGGCTGCAATATCAAAGGCCATCTTCTGGATGAAATGTTTAAACTATGGTTCTGTCTGGATTTTAGATAACTTTTGATGGAAAACTCAGGGTTTTTTCCTCCTGGAGTATTGGCTGATATTAATGTGATGACTTGGTGAGGCACTGCACTGGAAATAAAGCTCCACTATTTCCAGAGTTGTCACAAATGTGAAAAATTTGACTAAATCAACAAATTGCTCTATTTTCCCACATTATTTAATTTAAGTTAAAAGAATATGCATACCGATTGTTTTTCATGAGCAAGAAAATAACTATTTACTGTAAACAGTTTTGAGCCAATGGCAATAAAGAAACATGAATTGCTAACTTCTAAACTCCATAACTTAAACTCTTACCCGCTTTCAAAATTCATCTCCCAACTATTAAAATTGGTGGTCAGTACATACGTAGCTTTCAATAAAAATTGGCATGCCACAGAATTGCTGATGTATTTCATAGAATCATAGAGCTCTACAGTGTGAAAGCAGGCCATTCGGCCCATGGCGTCTGCACCGACCCTTCAAAGAGCCTTCTACCCAGATCAACCATACTGTTCTTCATTCTGAGTTTAATTCATTCCTGCTCCCTTTGTTTTTGTGATATTTTGAAACAAAGAATTTTTAAATAAACAACATCTCATTTGGCATGTTTATTATGCTAGTAAATCATATTTTACTGTGTTCTGATGTACCGTCTTCCGTACCACACTTGGTTGTGTACTTGTCTTTGTGAAGATCCTGCTGCTGGAGTTGCAAAATGAAGGCAAGGAGAAAAAGAGAAAGAAAGTTTTGCTACAAACAAAACTGAAGAGGGATGAAAATAAAGGACAAGACATTCTTGACTTTGTAGTTGAAGCTACCAAACTGATGTCACCTAACAACCAAGGAGTCAAAGGTACAACAAGCGCACGTTTTATTATACTACTTCATGAGAGATTTGTTTTGTTCATTTGAAGTTTGGCATTGCTAATTGTAAAGAATCAGAAGTGGCTTTATGGAATGAATGAATATAAAAGTTCTGTTTTCATTGTCTCTTGTCAATTATGTCAAGTATTGGTGCAAATGCTTTATTGGTATATAGTGGTGTTGGGATTGTTGCGCTTTGAAGTTTTGGAAAGGAATTCTACTTTGATATATTGCACCAATTTGAAAAGAATCTGCCAACAAAATTTAAAGATGCAGCATTTAACTTTGACAACAAGGTGCAGGGCTGGATGAACACAGCAGGCCAAGCAGCATCATAGGACCAGAAAGGCTGACGTTTCGGGCCTAGACCCTTGTCTCGGATTCTCCAGCATCTGCAGTTCCTACTATCTCTGATTCAATTTCCCCCCCAGCATTTAACTTTGTTGCCTGTGAAGTATTTTTGATATCTTAAAGTCAAGAAAAACATGCCATAAATCCAAACTTCTTTCCTTTCCGTCTTTCCTTTCAAATACCTTGCAGAAACTGCTATTTGCCGTTGCATATAATAAACTGTGTAACATTGAAAAAGACAGGAACAGATATCAGTGGGATGTGAAGAGACAATGAATTTAGCAGATGAATGACATTTATCACAGAGAAGTGTAAAGTATCCGTTTCAGTAGTAAGAATAAGGAGAGGTAGTACTTACTAAAAAGTAAAATGTTAAAAGGAATGTGGAAATCTATAAAGTGTATAGGATTGTTGACTTTATGTATTAGGCTCGGAGTACAAAAGCAAGGTTGTCATTCTAACTCTTTATAAAACACTAATTAAGCTTCAGCTCAAGTATTACGTTCAGTTGCAGGCATCACATTATAGAAAGACTATCAAGGCCTTTCAAAGTGTGTGGAAGATTTTCTTATTATTCAGTCACAGGGTATGTGCGTTGCTGGCAAGGCAAGCATTTATTGCCTATTTCTAATCGTCCTTGAGAGGAAGGTGGTGAACAGCTTCTTTGAACTACTGCAGTTTTTGATGAAGGAAATGCCTGAATTTTGGCCTGGAGATCATGAAGGAATGGGAAATGCAGTCCCAAGTCAGCCTGGTGTGTAGCTTGGAGACAAACTTGCATTTATTGGTGCTGGTGTGTATGTGTTGCCTTTGTCCTACTAATTGGTAGATATCTGTGGTTTGGAATGTGCTTTTGAAGAAGGCTGTGTAAATATCTGAAGTGCCAGAGGAAGTGATGGAGGCTGGTACAATTTCAACATTTAAAAAGAATCTGGATGGGTGTATGAATAGGAACTGTTTAGAGGGATATGGGGCAAATGGATTTAGGATATCTGGTCGGCATAGACAAGTTGGATCAAAGAGTCTATTTCCATGCTGCGCAGCTCTGTGACTGTATCTCATAATGGTACGCACTGCTGCAACTAAGAGTCTATCATCAAGAGAGTGAATGTTCATGGTGGATAGGGTACCAGTCAAGTGGTTTGCTTTGTCCTGAATGGTGTCAATCATCTTGTGTTCTGAGAAATGCACTTCTCCAGGGAGGTAGAGAGTATTACATCACAATCCTGACTTGTGCCTTGTAGATGTTGGAGAGGTTTTGAGCTAATTTATTCACAGCAGAATTCCTAGCTTTTGCCCTACACTTGTAACTTCAGTGCCTATATGGCTAGTCCAGTTCAGTTTCTGCTCAGTGGTAAGCAGGATTTGATAGTGGGGGATTCAGCAGTAATAATGCAGTTAAATGTCAAGGGTTAGATTCTGTGTCATGTTGGAGGTGATGATTGTCTGCCATTTGTGTGGCATGTAAGTTGCATGCCACTTATTAGCCCAAGCTTGTCCAGGTCTTCCTGAATATGGACATGGGTTGCTTTTGTATCTGAAGAATTGCAAATGGTGTAGAACATTATCCAAATATTAGTGAACATTCCCACTTCTGACCTTATGACTTAGGGAAGATAGTTGAAGAAGCAGCTGAAGCTGGTTTGGCTGTGTACACCACCTAGCAGAGATGTCCCAGGACTGGGGTGATTGACCTTAAAACCAAAGCCATCTTCCTGTGTATTAGGTATTACTTGAACCAGCAGAGAGTTTTCCCCCTGATTTTCATTGATTCTAGATGGAACTCCTGGATACCACACTTGGTCAAATGCTGCTTTAATGTTAAGGGCAGGCATTCTTCCCTCAATTTGGGAGTTCAGCTTTTCTGCCTATGTTTGTTCCAAGGTGACAGGAATTTTGACCAGCGATGAGATACTTCAGTTATGTGGAGAGATGAAGCTGAGAATTTTCTCCTTGGAACAGGGATGTTTGAGGATAAAAATATCTTCAATGTGTTGAAAGTAGTAAAAGGTTTTAAGAAAGTAATTAAGGCAAAATTGTTTTGGGGTAAAAGATTTAGTTGCTAGAGGTCACAAACTTCAGCTGATTGGCAAAGGAACCAAAGGTAACATGGGGACATTTTATTTGAATATAACAAGCTGTTGTCAAATGTGTTGCTTAAAAAGGTGGTGGGAGCAGATTCAGTAGTACGATACAAATGTTTACAGGGCTATTGGAAAAGAACAGAGGAGTGGGACAAATTGAATTGCTCTTTCAAAGGAGCTGTTGTAGGTGCAATGAACTGAATAGCTGCCTTAATGTTGCATCATTCGAAGTTTCTAAAATATTATTGTAAATAATTTAAGTGAGAATTGTTGGAAGTATTTGTGTTTTCTTCCTCGTAATGGTGTGGAATAGACAACAAAGTATTTGCTTCTCTCCTTCTACTAGTGCTCCAGAATAATTGGACACGCAGGTGCACAAAAATGGCTTGTGATCTCTGACATTAAAATTTTATTTTCCATTTTAGTATTGAGCTTTAACGGTTCTATTGAATAGCTAAAATTCTATTCTCTCATTTGACCTTGTCATCCTTTTTGTTATTGTCTGTCTTGCTTTTCCTCAATTGAAACAGTTAACTGCAGACTGGAAATGATGCCACTGAGTGCCCAAAATGTGTGGTTAAACCATTGCACGTGTGCACATGAGAAGCAAAAATTGACACAAGGAATGACACAAATGAGAAAACAGAAAATGTTAGCAAACATAATTTTAATAAGCTATAAACAAATGTGCATGCAACTGACTATTTCATGATTTATCTTTTTTCCATAGGTAAACGAGTGGTGTTGATAAAAGAATTCCCTGTCCACGGAGAAAATTCTTGCAGGGCAGCTGCACTCTATGTTGTACCAACAGCAGTTAAAGGTAAGAAAATTGCGATGCTGTAACGCCTCAGTTCGTTTTATTATAAACCTGGTGGTGTGCTTGAGACTTGCTACATCAGTTTAGTGACTTCTATTTTGAGAAGCAATTTGTAATGAGTTGCTACTAAGAAACTGTTTGAAGTTAACTTGCAGAATACAGTTATTGAAAGACCAAGATGAAAGATCAAATATGAGATGAACTGTTCCTTCTGAACTTGTAAATTTGCAAGCAAATGTTGGAATATTGCAGTTGATATTATTCGCTTTATGCTCTGTCTGAGAGCAAGAAAGCTTATTGTATGAATTATCTGCACCTTCCGGGCTTTCTTTACTTAAGAAAAGGGTATAGGTAACTGATTGGAATAGCTGCTCCATAAATAAAATATTTTATTCATTATTCCATTTGATTTTACTAATATGTACAATAATTTAGGAAAACTTGAAAGGGATTCTTTGTTGTTGCATAACATCAGTAGGAATGGTTTGCAATGTTCAGTGTAATTGTTTCCATTTGTATACAGATGAACTTCATTGCACCAAAATTTCAAGTTGATGAAAGGCATGTGCCACTTGCACACGTGTATGTAACAGTAGAGACTTTTCTTAGTTTGGAGAAAGTTTAGAGAAAGCTGAGCTGATGCACCTAATCCTGAAAAAAGAGAATTTGCAACTTTGAATAGACATCAGCCTTGAGTTGAGGGGAGCTGACATTGAGTGTATATAAAATATACTGTTGTGGGTGAATCATCTCAGTTACCTTTTAATTTAGCTACTTATTAAGAAATCTCACAGACATTTAAGTACTGCAACAACAATTTAAACTTCATTGCATGTAGCATCCAAAATAAGACCCCTTCAAGTCAGCAAGTTAAGCCTCATCTCAACTCGGCTATTACTTGATTAATAGTTGAATTTAGCTACGATTCTAACCAACCGTGTCTGTCTCTGAAGTCCAGAGTTTGATTCTTGTGCAGTGTTGTTCTTTGAAGTTTTGTTGCAGGAGAGTTCTCATATTGGATTCTTATATGGTTTTATCAATTGTGAGATCTATCATGTGATATTATTGATGATTCTTTAGATTCTTACATCCAAATTATTGACTACTCCTCTGAACCTATCTAGTCTATAGCATGCCTTCTTATCAGAAGTAACTCTTCTGCTCGTTGTCACATGTGGTGTTAGCAGTCTGTTAAAGACACAGCTTTCATGTGATTAACTCCTTAAATTCTTCAGCGGGGCAATCATTGCTTCTTGTGGCATAAAGAAGCCAGTTATTAACCAGGTATCAAAACAGTTTTGTTCATATAGTTTCGACTCCACCACCACCACCTTCCAGAAATGGCTAATTGCTTTCAATTCCTTAATAGTTTATTCCAGACCGAGTTATTGATGCTTCTTTCATGTATAACAGTTTATCTTAGATTTTTTTACATTCCATGAACAGGTGCTAAAATTCTGAAGTTTACACTATCAGATTATTTGTAGTTCAAAATTCAGTTACAGGTTCTTGAATAATCCCTTGAAGTCCAAACCATGTTTATGTGCCTATAAGTCTTCCTTTATAGATGAATTGAACATTTTTTAATAACAATTGAATGTATTGATTGTAATGTGCATGAGGAGACTGCGTAACGTGCAAATTGTTGCACTATTAACTTAGTGATCTTACTATTTGCAGACAACAGCAAGATATCCTATTGCCTTGGAGCACCAAGCTTTTACTGCTTCCAGGATATTATGCGTGTGTGCAGTGAATCTAGCACTCATTTTTCTACACTCAGTGCAAAAATGCTGATTGCCTTGGACAAGTAAGGAAGTTTACAATTATTCAGTCTTTGCTGTATTGTAACATTGTTTTACATGTAAACAAGGAGCTATGTATAAAATCTGGGATCAAAAATAGTGAATATAATACATGATGGTTTGCAATTCTGAATGAGTAGATCTTAATTGGTACTATGCTTAAACTGTAAGTGAGAATTAAGTAACTCCACTTCTTTCCCGTACCGTGTCTTTACTCCTGATCAAATCTGAGATCAGAAGGTCAATATGAAGAAGATAATAGGTATTAATACAGACTTTATCACTTGCCTTTTTTGAATTGGATTTGCATGATTTAAATATGACTAAGAAGGGTAGAACAGTTGCAAACTTGTGCAGTACCTGTAATGTCCAAGATTTGGTTGAAAGTATGATGGTATCGTATCAATGCGTGCTGTTATTAATGCACATTTGGCCAAGACTTGGCAGAATGGAACAGAAACCTTCCAAATTTTGAATTATCACAAACTGCTGAACAATTTGAGCCACTTCACAATTAGTTTTGTGAAAAAAGAATTTGCAGTTGCACTCAAAAACTTAGCTTGGTGATTATTAACTTAATCACCCTATACCAAAATGACAACTTGATTCTGGCTGAAAAGATGCACATTCTCACAAATCTTTTAATGTATTGCATTCATCAGACAATGTGCAAGAAATGCCAAAGTAACAGGAAAGCAACAATTGTGACCATTATTTATTACTGCCAATTAATGACCCTTTTGCCAATAGTAAGTAATCGTTCAGTGTGAATTCTCAGTTCTTCAGATTAAGATTGCTTGAGAGATCTTTAAAATGAAAAGTTCTATTTTTTCCTTACTCTTTTTTTGTTTCTCTGAATGCAGTCTGTCTTTTCCTTCCTATTTTCCTTCTGCACTAGATTTTATATTGAATTCACCAAGTGAAATTCATTTCCGGTAATCCTTTCTCTGCTTATTTGCCAGCCTTTAATTTTATTAACAAGGTGACTGTTTTACCTGTTGCTCACTAAGATACAAAAAAACCCAATGCCGGTCTATCATTGGCTTGTGCTTCAAGCAATTTGGTAGCCTTTTTATTTTAAAAAGAGAAACCTGTCTAAATAGGCATACCATGATATGTCCTGCTCCGGTAAAATCGGATCCACGATCGTTTTTGTCAGCTATCATCCATTTGTTTCTTATGAGCTTGTACATAATGTTTAAATAGTATAAGTATAGAAGGCAGGTGTTGACTGCATGTCCAGCTGTTCCCCTCAAAGCTACTGCAGGGGTCTACCTGTATGCTATATGTTTTAATCACCAGACTGTATACAAGTTTATCATATGATTCTGAGGATACTGATGGATGAGTGTCCAAATGATTGTGTGAAACTTGAAGGTAAGATATATGCTGAAGAAATAGACCATTCGATCCAATCAACCCATACCTGGAACATCTTGAATGTTCCATATAATCATTCATCACTGACAATATCAGCATTTATCAGCTGTGCCTAATTGCCCCTAAGTACGTGGTGGTGGGCTGTCTTCTTAAACTCGCTGTAATGCATTTTGTGTAGATAAGCCGTCAGCGTAGTTTGAAAGGGATTTTGAGGGGTTTTTTTTTTTTTTGGACCATGACAGCAAAGGTATCATGTTTATAGTTCCAAGTCATGTGTGGTTTGGAGGAGAACCTGCAGATCTTCGAGCTCTTGTATCTGTTGCATTTGACCGTGTATTTGTTTAGATGCCTGCCTGGATCCCTTTTGCAGAGTCTAGCATATTAGTGCAAAAGACTTGGCTGAATTGTTTTACACAAATCTTCAGTGTATGATGCTGCTCGATACTCTTTTTAGCTTTGTCCTTTGGGCCCGATAATCATTCCAATGTCCAGCCAATTCCACTCACTTAAGTGATTCTGAAAAATGGCTGACTCCTCTGTACACAGCAAAAGCTGTTTGTCATGACAGTTTTCTGAGTGTAGTGCTGAATGTTCGTTCAGACTGATCTAAACTCCTGGCTCAGCTGCTTTGTTCACAAAGCTGTTGAAGTTGAGAAACAACACAACTATCTAAGAAATGATGTGGAAGATTGCCCAAGCCTATCCATTCTATATAAAAACAAAAATCTTTTTTCACAGGGTGGCTCCATGGCTCATTGGTTAGCACTGCTGCCTCGCAGTGCCAGGGACCCCTGTTTGATTCCACCCTCAGGCGACTGTCTGGAGTTTGCACATTCTCCCCTTGTCTGCGTGGGTTTTCTCTGGGTGCTCCAGAGTGTAGGAATGTGCAGCTAGGTGGGTTAGCCATGGGAAATGCAGCATTACGGGGTAGGCTAGGGGAGTGGGTCTGGGTGGGATGTCCTTCGAAGGGCCAGTGTAGACTTGATGGGCCAAAAGGCCTGATTCCACACTAGTGATTCTATGAAATCTAACTTTGTCATTTGCGTGCAATGATAGGCGTGTTTTCTATCTTGATCAGGTTACGGAAAAGCACTTTTGGGGACACAGGATTTCTTGGAGATTTAACAAATGATAAACTTGCTGTGATCTGTACAACTGATTTATTTAAATTTTTAGCATGAATAATTTGCTTTGAACCAGAATTAAATTTAACATTAATCTGATGAATTTTATCAATGAATTTAATGCAGACCATCTATTTAAACTGTTGGACTTCAGAATTCTTTATCGGTTGGGATTCTCTTTAACAGTAATATCAAGTGGGATGGCATCACTTTGTTTTGTTGTTGGTGTAATATTAATTTGGGGTGTGCTGTGTTTTGTACATATTTTCATATATTAATTAAATCCTTTTTTAAACATTGCATCAATGCCACTAGTTTGTTCTTGACTGAGGTATTGCATCAAGTGGACATTGGAGGAGATGCAGAAGAGATTCATGGCAGCTGTTCTAGGAATGAGAAACCTCAGCTATGTAGATTGGGGTAAAGGTTGAGAGGAGATTTGATTCAGGTATTCAAAATCATGATTCTGAACAGAGCAGATGAGAAGAAGTTGATCCCATGAGCGATAAGATGGAGAAGAGTTACACTCAGAATAATGGTAATTGGCAAAAGAAGCAGTGGTGACATGAGGAAAACTTTATGTAGCAAGTGGTTAGATCTAGAACATACTGTGTCAAGTAGGAAATCCTGGTGTGAGTTATAAATAGTTTTCTGAATCAGTACATTGAGGAGCCAACTGGAGAATAGGCCATCCAAGACTGAATATTGTGTAACGAGAGAGGAATAATTAGCAGTCTGGCTGTTCAAGGCCCCCTGAGGGCCATAATATGATAATTCTTCATTAAGATGAAAAGTGACATTTAGATTCAGGACCCTAGTTTCAGTATCAACTAAAAGAAACCACAATGGTATGAGGTGTGATGTGACTATAGTAAATTGGGGAGCATTACTTAAAGGAATGATGGTGGATAGGAAATAGCAAACACTTAAACTGCAACAATTGTTCATTTCCGTCTGGGCAAAATTAATATGGGAGAGGAAGTCTGACCATAGCTAACATGGGGAATCGGACTATTCTGCAGGAATCAGTGCTTAGACCCCAGCTATTCAGAATGGTTTATATGTAGGAACTAAATGTAAAAGCTAACATTTTGCAGACAACACAAAGCTGGGTGGGAGAGTGAATTGTGAGGAGGCAGAGATATTTCATTGTGAATTGGACAAGTTTGAGTGAGTGGCCAAATGTATGGCAGATGAAGAATCATATGTGATATTTGATATCAAAGGCAAACGGATTATTATCTGAATGGCAGTTGATTGGGAAAGCTGGAGATGCACAAGGCCTGGGTGTCGTTGTGATTCAGTTGCTGAAAATAAGCATGCAGATGCAGCAGGCAGTGAAGAAGGCAAATGGTATGTTGACCTTCATAGCGAAAAGAGTCGGGTACAGCAGAAGGGATGTCCTCCTGCAATTGCACGGGACTGTAATTAGACTATTGTATTGTGTGCAGTTTTTGGCTTCCTTATCAGAAGAAGGATGCTCAGGCTATAGAGGGAATGCAATGAAGGTTTGCCAGAGTGATTTCTTCGATAGCAGGTCTGATGTATGAAGAGAAGGATTGGTTAGTACTGTATTCCCTGGAGTTCAGAAGAATGAGGAGGTATCTCAGGAACCTCAAATTCTAACAGGACTAGACAGGTAAACACAAGAAAGATGTTACAGATGGTAGGGGAGTCCAGAACTGGGGTACAGTCTCAGGATACGGGCTAGGCTATTTAGGACTGATCTGAGAATTTCCTTCTCCCAGAGAATGATGAGCCTGTGGAATTCTCTGCCACAGAAAGCTGTGGAGGCCAAAACATTGAATGTTTTTAAAAAGGAGTTAGATATAGTTATTGCAGCCAAATGGATAGAATGGGAAGAAAACATGATCAGGATACTGAGTTAGATGATTAGCCATGACCATTTTGAATGGCGGAATGGGCTTGAGGTGCTAAGTGGCCTATGCTTCTGAGAGTATGGTGAAGGCAGTTTCAATCATAGTATTCAAAGAAGAATTTGATTATTATCTGAAAACATAGAATATGCAGGGCATAGAAGAAGCAAGGGAATGACATTTGGTGAATTTATCTTGTCAAGAGCTAACATGGACATGATGTGTCGAATAGCAGCCTCCTATGCTGTAACAATTCTTTTAATGTTTGGTAGGAAGGGGAATTCACTAATCAGTTACCCCACCATTCAAAGATACATATTTGAATGTATAAGGATAACATTGTGTGACTCAAATGGTCTTTTGCCACTCTAATCCAATTGATCAGAATTTCCTTTTGTTGATTGCCAGCTGTTTACCAACCCTGCCCCAAAATAACCTTGTAATTCCAATTGTCTGTGTTCCTCCCAAGTTGAGAGCTAGCTGATTCTAATTGAAGAAATGGCTTCAGTCCCATGGTAAAATTGGGAAAACTAACCAGTGTTTCCATTTACAACATTTTTGTTTTGCTGAAAACCTTAATTTTGAGGAAAGGCACAACTAGATGATTTTTGACACCCGTACCAACGTACATTGTCAAATAATACACACTTGGGTAAGATACCTAGGATGCCCAGCGTATGTGTACTACAACAGGAGTGCGAGCTCTTGGGATTGGGAGGAATAGGTGAAAAAAGTCTAATTGAAAATCATAAGCTTAGAAGATTTTTGAAAATGTCTTCCTGGTTTCTTCACAGGTGGTTGGCAGAACAGCACACCATCTCCCATGCCATTCCAGGTCTTTTTAGACCATCGCCTCTTGACAGACTCAAATCTTGTGTAGCAAACCCTGCTTACATCAAAGAAATGGATCAGCATGAAAATACACTAAATGTGGGCTACACTGCTTTGGAGATAAAAAGTAAAATGTTGTCACTGGAAAAAGCTGACCTCTGTATCTACAATCCACTTTTTGGATCAGACTTACAGTACACAAATAGGGTAGGATGCACAACACTATCTGCTAAATGTACTGTTTTAGAAAAGCAATGATTGTGATGTTTGTCATTCTAATGTAACTTGATATTATGCTTATATTGACTTCTGAAGCAGGCTGCCAGACCACCATGAGCAGTCTTATTTATTACTTGGTCAACTGAAATACAGTGAAGAATATTCGGCAGTTTCACTGGCTGTTACTGCAATTAAGAACTTGGAAATGTTTGTTTGTTGCCTGAAACATGTAATATAGATTAATAATAACAGCTGCAATGTTCTAAAAACATTGGATAGTAGACCTTAAAAATATTTTTTGTGCTGTGCGTACTGATGGCATCTGCTGGTAAATTCTGACCTCTCTTGTGAACACAATGCAGTGACAGTGTGCAATACACTGGAAAACTAAAGAGGCTGCCACAGTTAGCAGATTCCTTGCAAACTACAAGCCTGATTTTTTTGTATTGCTTTTCTTCCCCCCCCCTCCCCGACCCCGTCTTCTCTGGCTGAGTTACTTTTTGCCATAGTTGAAGCTTATTTCTTTTGCAGTCTTTTATTTACTGTTGCATTTCTCTATTACCTAATCAAAGTAAACTTTTACACTACTTTAATAGCCTGCTTTTAAGCAGGTTGCAAATCTGTCAAAAGACTCATTGCCTTTCTATATTTACAGCATCTGTTTTTCCCCCTCCTTTAACTTTTTAAAAATCTATTTACTACTTTCCCATTTTTCAGTTCTGAAGAAAGGCCTTGTTTAAGATTTTGACTAGTCTCTTGTCTCTATAGATGGATGTTTTCCAGCGTTTAATGTTTGCTTGAACAAATTTTATGATCATTTTCAAATATAATTTCATCCAAAATTGGAATCATTCCAATATGTTAATCTAAAGTAAATAGAATAATGAGCAGGAATACAAATGTGTCAGCCATGAACTTATTCATTGGAGGAGCAATCTCAAGGTGTCATACAATCTAATTCTGCTCCTAATTCATGCATTTGAATGCGGTGAGTATTATTCTGTTGAACAGATCAAGATTTGTAACAGATCAAGATTTGTAACAGATCAAGATTTGTAACAGATCCTTCGTCATTTAGCAATCATTTCATTGGTCAGGCTTGTAAATACCAAGAAACAGAAGAGAGTGCTTTAATTTTTGTTTGACTTTTACTTTGCTGTGTGAAATAATAACTGTAAAAGTAACATTGCTAAAATTGCATTTGGTTATTTTTTGAAATTGCAAACTCTTTGCAGTCACCCAGAGTGGGAGATAGCTAATATGTGAATTACCTTTCTTTTTAATGATTTTGTTCATAGGTAGATAAAGTGGTTATAAATCCGTACTTTGGCTTGGGAGCACCTGATTATTCCAAGATACAGATTCCAAAACGTGAAAAATGGCAGCGTAGTATGAGTAGCATAATGGAGGACAAGTAAGTATATAAACAATATGAAATTACAAACGAACTTCTGACATAACTGCCAACATGTTGAGATCCAAGTAGCTGTACTCTGGCAATATTAATTGTGTTTGCACTGATAATAGGAACCAATGCGGTACATAACTGAGCGTTGACTGCAAGAGCACTACACAACATAAAGAATCTGGTATCTGAAGTTAGTTGGCGTGTGCTTTGGTCAACTAAAATTTTGTGAAAATGTGAGATGTATGGATAAAAGTTTGTTGTAGTGATGGCACAGTGATAATATCACTGGACTAGTAATCCAGAGCCCCAGGCTAATGTTTGAGGGACATGGGTTGAAATCCCAGATGGTGAAATTTGAATTAATCAAAATTTGGAATTAAAGCCTAGTCAAGTGGTGACCAGGTAGCCATTGTTGCAAAAACTCATTTGGTTCACTGGTATCATTTGATGGAAGGAAATTTGCTGTTTTCACCTGGTCTGACCTACAAGTGACTTTAAACCCACAGCAATGTGATTGGATTTTTTAGCTACCCTCTGAAGTATTCCAGCAAGCCACTCAGTTACATCAAACTGTAACAAAATCTAGTCAATGGAATGAAGCTAGATGGACCACCCGAATCAACCTCAGCACTGGAAACAAGAATAGCAAACCCAAGCCTGTTGACCCTGCAAAGTCCTCCTGACCAACAGAGAGACTTGTGCCAAAATTGAGAAGGATTTCACGCAGATAAGTAAAAGTCTGACATTGTCTGCAAATTAGGATTCTGTTACTACATCCCACATATCACCATCACCATCAACATCTTTCGGTATGAACTGTCCCACTGGCAGGTCTGGCCTACCAGAAATGCTGGCAGAGTAGAATACATTAAGGAGACTGTTACCCTGGAGACCTCAAAATTTTACTCTGGATCTCATGGCATCCGGGCAAGGAAACCTTGTGCTGATTGCCACATATAGTGCAGAAAGTAAGAGAGCATACCTAATGTTATGATCTCAGTTGATCTTTTTTTTTAAACACCTGGGATGTGGGCATCGCTGGCTGGGCCAGCACTTGTCTGTCTGCAGTTGGCCTTGGGAAGGTGATGTTGAAATGCAGTCCATGTGCTACTAGGGAGGGAATTCCTGGATTTTGACTTAACGACACTGAAGGAACAGCACACATTGCAAAATGGATGGTGAGTGGCTTAGAGGGAAACTTGCAGGTCGGTGTGTTCCCATTTAACCACTGCCCTGGTCCTTTTAGATGGAAGCAGTCGTGGGTTTGGAAGGGGCTAGCTTCAGGAACTTTGGTGAATTTCAGCAATGAAACTTGTAGATAGTTTAGAAAGCATATTTGTGGTTGTGCCAAACAAGTGGGCTACACTGTTCTGGACAGTGACAAGCTTCTTGACTGGTGTTAGAGCTGTGCTCATCCAGGCAAGTGGAGAGTATGCCATCACGCTCCTGACTTGTGCCTTGCAGACGGTGGACAGGCTTTGGGGAGTTGAGACGCGAGTTACTCATTGTAGAATTACTAGCTGCTGATCTGCTCTTTTAGCCACTGTGTGTATGGCTAGACCAGTTCAATTTCTGCCTTGTGATCGTGGGTGATATAGTGGTGGTAATGGCATTGAATGTCAAGGGGTGATGGTTAGATTGTCTCTTATTGCCTGGCATTTGCATGGCATGGATGTAACTTGCCAGTTTTTAGCCTGAGCCTGCCATATTGTCCAGATCTTGTTGCAATTGGATGTGGAATTGTCAGATAGTGAAGCAGTCTGTGAATGATGGTGAACATTTTCAGATCACATCGAACATGCCCACCTTTGCCCTTATGATAGGTGATCAGTTGTTAATGAAGCAGCTGAAAATGCTTTGGCCAAAAACGTTACCCTGAAGAACTCCTGAAGAGATCCCTGGAGCTGAGATGATTGACCTTCAGCAACCACAGCTAGGATTGACTCCAACCAGCAGACAGCTTTTTCCCTGATTCCCATTAACTCTAGTTTTGCTATGGCTGCTTGATGCACAACTCTGGCAAATGTGATTTTCATGTTAAGAGTAGTCATTGTTTTACCTCTGAAATTCAGCTGTTTTGTCCATGTTTGAACCAAAGCTGAATAAGTCAGACTCCAGTGTAAAACCAACTTTGATAATCACAAGTTTCAGTTTTGCAGTTTGGTTATTTTGCTGATTTGTTATTGAAGATATTCACACAAGTTTATTGCAAAAAAGGGAAAGCAAACAGCTGCACATGTATGACAATTTGAAAAGATCTCCACATAAACAATGAAAACAAAGATTGAACTATTCTTTTTTGCCAAAATTATGCTTTACAGATACTTAATTCCAGTGAACTATCAGTCCCGTCTTTAAGGTTTATTACCCAACTGAGTCTTTCCAGTTTGATGGCCAGGTGATCTAGACCTGCCCTTCTGACGCAAACTTGATTCTTGCCTTTGATCATCTGTCTTTCTGTAGCCATAAGAATCAACTTTGCAAACATACAGCAACTAAATTCCTAGGTCGCCGATTAAGATATTTAACTTAATTCACATGATCTGTTGAAAGTAATGTCTTCAGTTCACTGTTCCAAATTACATTATGACCTCTTTTTAATAAAAACAGTTACAGTTAAAGTCTTTAAAAAACTTTATTACACTAGTGTAACGAAGTATAAACCTGATGAAGCTACAAAACCAGATACCACGCATGCTAAGCAGTGGAAGCAGCATGCAGTAAACAGGTCTAAGCAATACCATAACCAGTGGATCAGTTCTAAACCTCGCAGTTGTCACCTCCAGTCATGAATGGTGATGGACAATTAAACAACTAGTAGAGGGTGGAGGTTCTATGAATATTCCCACCAAGGGAGACCCCAGCACATCAGTCTAAAACACGAGGCTGAAGCATTTGTATCCATTATCTGCCAGAAATCATAGAATCATTGAATCCCTACAATGTGGATAGAGGCCGTTTGGTCCACTGAGTCTATGCTGACCCTTTGAAGAGTGTCCCATGCAAACCATACCCCCAACCCCCAAAATCCTATCCCTGTAACCCTGCATTTACCATGGCTAATTTACCTAGCCTGCATATTTCCTGGACACTGGGCAAATTAGCATGGCCAATTCACCTAACCTTCACATCTTCGAAGTGTGTGAGGAAACAGGAATACCAGAAATCCACGCAGGCACAGGAAGAATGTGCAAACTGCACAGTCATCCAAAGATGGAATCGAATGTGCTTGGTGTGCTGTGTACGTGATCCATCTCCATCTCCTCATGTCCAAAGCATCACACGTCCAATCTTCAACCAATTTGATTCGCTCCATGTATCAAAAAAAGGCTGAAGTAGCTGAAGGCACTAGATGGTGATCATCTGATTGATGTTGGAAGGTGTTGCTGGTGATGGTATGAAGTGGCTTTTGCAACGATATAACCTGCTGACTGGTTTTCAGTTTGGCTTCTGTCAGGGCAGCTAGGCCCCTGGCTGCATTACAGCCTTGGTTCAGACATGGATAAAGAATCTGAACTCCATAGGTGAGGAGAGAGTGACAGTCCGTGATAGCAAGGCAGCATTTGATTGTGTAACATCAGGGAGTGTCAGCAAAACTGGCATCAGAACGAATTCTGGAAAATTCCGATGGAGAGTCCCAACCCGAAACGTCGACATCCTGTTCCTCTGCTGCCTGATCTGCTGTGTTCCCCAGCTCCACACTGACTCCACCATCAGTGTTCTTGTTATCACCGAGGGAAAATTCTCCACTGGCTGGAGGCATACCTAGCATAAAGGAAGAAGCAACACAGACGGACTTGGGGGATAAAAATCACTGATAGCAAGAACTGCAGATGCTGGAGTCAGAGATAACGGTGTGGAGCTGGAGGAGCACAGCAGGCCAGGCAGCATCAGATGAAAAGGAAAGCTGATGTTTCGGTTCGGGACCCATCTTCAAAAAACTTGGGGGATACTTTGTGCATGAAACAAGCAAGCGCACAGGTGCAGCTGGTAATCAGGAAGGCTAATGGAATGTTGACCCTTATTTCAGGGAGGTTGGAATATAAAAGTAGGGAAGACTTACTGCAACTGTACAAGGTGCTGGTAAACTATGTCTGGAGTATTCAGAGTAGTTTTAGTCCCATTAGTTATGGAAAGATATTTAATTGGAGTCAGTTCAGAGAAGGTTCACTAGAGTGATCCCTGGTATGGAGAGATTGTCTTATGAGCAAAGGCTAAACAGTTTGGGACTCACTGGAATTTAGAAGAATAAGAGGTGATCTCATTGAAACATGAGGATTCTTAAGGGGCTTGACAGGGTAAATGCTGAGAGAATGTTTCCCTTCATGGGAGAGTCTAGAGCCATAGAGCATAGTCTCAGAATAAAGAGGTGCCAATTTATGACTGAGCTGAGGAATTTCTTCTCTGAGGGTTGAGAGTCTTTGGAACTCCTTGTGACAGATAGCTGTGGGGGCAGAGTTCTTATGTATTATTAAAGGCTGAGATAAATTCTTGATCAGTAGGGGAATCAAGGGTTACAGGGACAGGTTAGGCTCAAGGGAACGAATGGTCTACTCCTATTTCTATTTCTTATGGTCAATGATGGTTGTGGTTGGAAGTCGCATCATTTGTAACGTCCTATGTCAAATTCTGCAACAACCGACTTACCACCTATCTCCACTCATGTCCGCCATCTACAAGACATCAGTCAGGAGTTTGATAGTACACATCCCACTTGTCTGGATGGATGCACCTCCAACAGTAATCAAAGGCTTGATGCCATCCAGGACAAAGCAGCTGCTTGACTATCACCCTATCCACCAATTTCAATAATTGTTCTCTTCACCACTAATGCACAGTGTGTACCATCTACAAGATGTAGTACAATAGATTGCTGCAGCTCCTTCAACAGCATCTTCCAAACTTGCGACCGCTGCCATCTCTGAAGGATGAGGTCAGCAGATGTTTGACAGCATTACCACCTGTGAGTTCCCTTCCAATTTGCACACCATCCTGACTTGAACTAGATCCCTATCCCTTCACTGTTGCTGACTAAGTGCTATACTGTTGGAAATGACATCCTTCAGATATAAATCTGAAGCCCTATGTAGCCTATCTACCAGATGAATGTATAAGATCCCATGGCACTATTTGAAAAGAAGTAGGCAACTTCTTCTAATGCAATAGGTAGCATTTATCCTAATACCACTGAAACAAATTAACTGTTCAATTAT